GGGAGGGGAGGGGAGAACCCTGACAAGGACTGGGCTGGAGGCTGTGGAACTGAGAACTAGAGACAGGAGGGTGAGGGTGAGGAAGAGAAGTGGAACTCAGTAAAAGCATGTGTGCCAGATGCTGTAAAATGTCTTATTTAATTCTCCATTCCACGGTGCAAACAGAGGCTTGGAATACTTAAAAGATGTAGAGACCGCTAGTTAAGCCGCCAGGCTGAGAACTGAGATACCCCTCCCTCTGACTCTAACGCTCCCTTGTTTTCAAGTATGTGAGAAGGGCAATGCCCCGAGCCCTTTCTGGGATGAGGGAATGGGGGAAGACAGAAATTGGAGCCCAGCAGGGCGTGGCTCAGCGGTTGAGCGTCCACCCAGGATCCAGGCCATCAGGGTTCGATTCCCCGTCAGGGCACAGGCCCGGGTTGCGGGCTCAGTCCCCAGTCGGGGCCGTGCAGGAGGCAGCCGATCAATGACTCTCATCATTGATGTTCCTGTCTCTGTCTCTGTGTGTGTGTCTCTCTCTCTCTCTCTCTCTCCTTTCCTCTCTCTGAAATCAATAAAGATATATTTTTAAAAAGAAAGAAATTAAAGAAATANCTGGATCCTCAGGGCCCCCAGCTTCCCATCTCAGGGGCCCCAGCATCCCACGCCGGGCCGCTCAGGCCTCGCCGGGCTGCGCTGAGCCGGGCCCGTCCCCACCGCCCCGGCGCGCTCGCCCTCTCACCTTCACCTTCCCGGCCTCACGGCAGCCATCATGCCCCCGACGTCACCAGCCAGCGCCGGCCCGAGGAGNGGCCCGAGGAGAGGCGGGAGGCGCGGGACGGAGGCGGGTGTCCCCAGCCGCCGCAGGGGTGCCGCTGTGGCCCGGGTGAGTCGTTGGACCCCCGAGCCCAGCTGGCTGGACCGTCACCCTCGTCACGGGCCAAGGGCCTACCAGCTCGGCGACTGCGGAGGCATCTCGGCGCGCTCCCTCACCGCGCCGGCGTCCCAGGCCGATGACGTAAGCGTCGGGGCTCCCGCTGCATCATGGGGGCTGTAGTTCCGCCGGGAGCCCGCCTGCGCTGGGGTGGGCGGGGCCTCCAGCTGTCAAAGGGGAAAGAAAACAAGGGCGTGGGTTAGAGGTTCCCGCTTTCTGCTTCGTTGGCCCCGAGCCTGATGCCGAGGCCTCTGCCAGCTCTGGAATCTAAGCTTTCGTTTTGTAATTTTAGAGAAGCGCTCTCAAGAGGAACACAGGAAGCACGTGGGAGCCCGCTGCCCTTCAGTTGACTTTGAGAAGGAAGAACAGCATCGACACTCTCCGAGCAGGTACTTAACGTGCCTCGTTTCAACCAACCTTCACAACCGTTCCAGGAGCCTCAGAGAGATCACACATGGCAGATCACTGGGCTTCATTATGTGCCAGGCACCAGGATACAGCAATAAGCGGGTCTCCTGATAGCCCCAGTCACCTAAGGGGAGGCCCCAAGCCCCGACTCCCCAGTATGCCAGCCACCAGTCACATGGGGCCTGGCAGCCCCTGGTGTGAATTGAGATGTGCTGGACGACTTAATACCAAAAAAGTACGTAAACGATCTTATTGGTATTTTTGTATTGATTATGTGTTCAAGTTGTGAACTTAAAAAGGGGGGTCCTGTGGAAAGTAACCTCGCCAGGTGATCTGAGCGTAAATCCCAAACTGGGCCAGTCCTAGTGGGTAGTCACACCCCAGGCATACAAACTTGTGACTAAAAGGCTCATCTTTGCCTTAAGCAAGCCGTCCGTTGTTCCTGTCCATCTAGGTTAACACACCTTTGAAATGCCCCCTTTCAGACCCCTCGAGACAGCACGTAACCTTAACTATTCTGTAACCCCCATTTCCAGATGGCTTCCTCCCGCCTTCACGTAATCTTCCTTACATTCCCTCAATTTCAAATGCATAAAAGAAGCTGCCACACTTTTTTCTCTGGAGCATTTGAGAGCTTCCTCCAGGCCTGTGTCATCAGTTTGACTCAAATTCTCTTATAAAAATTCTCTACACTTTTGGACGTTTCTCACGTGGACCAAGTGATAATATTTTGGATAAATTGATTTAAATAAAATATATTACTAAAATTAAGTTCACTTGTTTCTTTTTACTCTAAGAAATGTGGCTACTGGAAAATCTAAAATTGCATAGTGGCTCGCTGTGATATTGTGGTTTATAATAATAATAATATATATATATACACACACACACACACACACACACACACACATATATATATATATATATATATATATATATATATATATATATGGTCTTATATGGTCTTTGTCCACTGTTCCTGGCACATAGCTCCTGAAATCCTTAAAATTTTCTATTTAAGAACCATAGGGGCATCTCGTTATAGTACTTACAAATAAAGTCATCAAATAAAGGTGAAAGTGGTATCTTTTGTTACTGGTAACAAGCCCCCTTTCATCTGAGTTGATGTTAATGAGTGACTTTTGGAAAGCTTCTCAGGCTGGGAGCTGGTTGCCAGGGGAGCCAATGATGTGATTAGAGGGTTGGAACTTTCAGCCTCCCCACTCCCTCATCTTCCTGGGAACCAAGAGGAGCTGGACATTGACTTGATCACCGATGGCCAATAATTTAATCAATCGTGCCTCGGTAATGACGCCTCCATAAAAATCCTTGAATTACGGGATTCAGAGAGCTCCCAGGCTGGTGAACACTTGGAGGTGCTGGGAGGATGGTGCACTTGGAGAGAGCCTGGAAACTCCTCACCCCTTCCCACATACCTTGTCCTATGCATCGCTTCCATTTGGCCATTCCCAAATTGTATCCTTTTATAATAAACTGGTAACTAGTAAGTAAACTGTTTTCCTGAGTTCTATGAGCCACTCTAGCACATTAATTGAACCCGAGGAGGGGGTCGTAAGAATCTCTGATTTATAATTGGTCAGTGAGGGGAAAATATAATTTTCCCTCCTACCCTTTTAAGTTCCTCTGGCTGGACTAATAATCAAATTAACATGAGACAGATTTACAGGAGGGAATTGCCAAATTATTATATATGTACATACATGGGTTCCATAAGAATATGAGGCCGCCCCCAGGACAGATGGGGCAGTTAAGGCTTATATGCCATCTTGAGCTAAGAAGAAGGGTGGGGGTTGTGATTTGGGACTTCGAAGGGCAGGAAGGCAATTCATGTGGAAATAGAAAAGTAAATGTTTAGTAAATAATTGTTTGTTGGGGAATTAAAACCTGTGCTCTTGCAGAAAAATAATTGTTTGCTGGGTCATTAACATAGGACACAGAGAGGACCCTTAATTTTGCCAGGCTCCTATCATACCTATTTCACATTAAACTATAATTATCTATGAAAATACTCTCTTCCTGGAGCAGGACTTCTATATTTATTCTTTTTTATTTTATTTTTTTAGAGAAGGGAAGGAAGAGAGAGAGAGAAGCATCAATTTGTTCCACTCATTTATGCATTCATTGGTTGATTCCCATGTGTGCCCAGACTGGAGATCGAACCCAAAACCTTGGCATATCGGGGACAACACTCTAACCAACTGAGCTACCCGACCAGGGCTGAATTCTTTTAGTTAGGAGGTTAGGGTTTGGAAGGTCAATGGTTCTTTCTGATCTTTTGTTTCTTAACCAGCTTAAAATAATCAGTATCCCAAAAGGTGCATTTTGGGCGGCAAACTCTTCCTCTCATAGCAGCACAGGTGACAACCTGGATTTGTGACTAGTGTTTGAATAAGGGAAGGGGCAGTCTTATGGGACTGAGCCCCTAACTTGCTATCTCCAGGTAGATAGTGTCCGAATTGAGTTAAATTTTTAGGACACCCTTTTGGTGCCTGCTGAGACTTTGGAGAATTACTTGGTGTGGGGAAAACCCCACACATTTGGCGATCAGAAGTTTCAGAAGTGGAGTGCTACGTGGAGCATAAAGGGAAATAGAGTTTTCTATTTCTACTGGACAGCACTGATCTGTAACCATGGAGAACCTGGCCACAAAGACTGCAGGAAGCAAGCCCGTACTGCGGGATCTACCAGCTTATCTGTTCCCAGTGGGGTTGCTCAGAGGAAGTTGTCCAGACCTATTGCCCTGAGCCAGCCAGTGGCCTGGAGTCAGAGTCAGAGAGACTCTGGACCTTGGGGCTGCAGCCAGACACTGCCTCGGGGTGTGGCCAGGCCTCTGGGACGTGATTGCCATCACATCAGGCCTGTAACAGCCGCCTTGCAGCGCTGCTGCTGCTTCCCCAAGCTCCCTGGCCCCCAAGGAGATGGGCAGTTCTGCCAGGGCAGGATCTGCATTCCACTTCCTTTCCCTTCTGCGGCAGTCTCGCCCCAGTTAGGCGGAGGCCTGGAGGGTCTCCTTCCTAAACATCTGTTCTATCTCTTCCCTCCTGCAAGCTCTGGCCTAGGCCCTGGTCACCTGCCTGGACGGCTGCAGGAGCCTCGGCATCCGTTCCAGCTTTCCAGTCTGGCCCTCCGCCCTGTACCCCGCGTTTCCTCTGAAACAGCTTCAAGCTGTGAGGCCTCCACGACACGACCCCCAGTGCGGCTGAGTGTTTCTGGGGCGGACTGCAGGGCGGGACACTGTGCATCTGTAGACCTCTCTCTTCTACGTTTCCTGTTTCTATTTTGATGGACTGGACTAGAATTTCTCAGTGGACTGGAATTGCATTTGTAATCAGAAAAAGCTAAAAATACCCCTAACACAGACACACAGACACACACACCTTGGATGTGCACAGATCAGCTCAGAAAGGACACCCAAGAAACAGATTAGATATGGTTGCTTCTCAGAACTGGGCAGTCCAGGGTGAGAGAGGAGAAAGGAGTTAAGATTTGTGCTGTTTGTGTTTTGTTAATCTGCACCCGAGGATATTTTTGTAATTGAATTTTTCTTAGAGTGAGAG